AATGAGTAATGACAACTTATAAGCCATACATTTTCCGATAACGACGAAACGCTTGTGTAGCCTTTAGTCGCTTTTAGTGACTAATAATTTTTTTTGAGGGGGGGCAAAATGGGGGGGGCAAAAAATAATTGGGGGGGGGCATTTGCCCCCCCCCCTTGCCCCCCCCCCCCTGGCGCCGCCACTGGAAGCGTGCGAAGCAGGTCGACTCGCCAACAATTTTCGTTGTTCATGAAATGGCATTTCAGATACTAGATATAGGCCTAGATAGATACCTTTGACACGATAATGTTTAAAGCTACAAGCTTGTGGGGTCGTGTATTTACTGTATCTATAACTGTGAATATAAATTAAATTATAAGAAGTTGATTAAATATACCTTACTTGTATTAATTAAAATTCGCGTCGTACTCATCCATCGCGCACCTTGCGCATCATCGCGCACCATCGCAGGTTCTTTTAAATACTTAAGTTGGTGATGTTTCACCTCCTGCTCATTATAAAGTAGTGTTCCACAATTCCGAACCTCGGTATTCACCGAGTCCTTCATGTATCTAGTATTATACCTTGGTATTGATAAAATACCTGGGGCCAGTTGTTCAAAGGTGGGTTAGTTTGTGTATTTCTACACGTCTGTTTATGTCAAAACTTCAGAGAAGTAAACTCCTATCGATCGAGATCTCTGAAGAAATATTTCCAAATTTATAGACAAGCCATCAAGAAGATTGCTTTGAATTTTAGGTTAACGTAGGGTTAAGCTAACCCAGCTTTGAACAATCGGCCCATGATCCTGCAACTTTTCTTTACAATATTCTTAAATATCGATTTCAAACTTTTGTGGGGGGGGGGGCATATCTCCATTCTCCCTAGAGGTCTCGCGCCTTCAGCGCTTGATACTCCAGCATGGGCTTGCCCTCAGGACCGTTGGACCATACAACCGTCTACGTCCCTGGACTACTAGACAACCTGTTCCCATTCGAGGGCATTCTCCATTTGGAAGCGATATCGTCTGGTGTTAGACTGGATATTGTTTGCATCATTGCAACACACGTAAAGGTATTAACGCGCACAAAGAAAGTTTAATCTCTTTTTTGCTTCCTTTCTCAACATCGTCTTAGTCCAAAAGAAGATCACTGAGTTGACACTAGAGTTGGACATGACTATCGTGTACACCCATACATTGTTGACTAGAAACTCGCTTTCGTCAGTGTTTCTATTTGAGGTAAACACCATCGGTGGTAGGAAAGACAGAATGAAGAAACACATCACAACAATGAAACAGGACTTTGCTTGTTTGATTTCTCGCAGGAACAGTTTCTTTCTTGTCAAATTCAGTTCTCCTTCTGCACTAGATGGTTGGTTCTGTGAGCGATTCAACTTGCTAATAACCAGGTATATTCTTGTGTAAGCAAGCGCAGTGAAAATTAATACGAGAGTTACCAATAACGTCCCAAATATCATAGGCGCAAACTGGATACGTAAAGAGAGAAAAATCACAAACAATGCGACTGCAGCACCAGAACCGACGTACACCAAAATTCTCCTCTTTGTTACTACAGTTTTATAAGCATAGGGATATAAGATGGCAATGTATCGTTCCATTGTCATAGCAGATAGTGTGATAGTAGATACTGCAATTGGTAAAAGTGCGGACTTTATCGCCAGTAATGTTCCCAAGCAATTAGATGTCCCTGTTATACCTTGAACAAGGAAAACTAGAAATAGAGGTATGCCCAACACACCAACTGCCAAGTCGATCACGGACTGAACAAGAATGATAAAATAACAAGGCTTGCTGTTTAGTTGGGAAGATTTAAAAATCGTTATGATTGAAACAGCATTTAGTAATATCGTAGGAATTATGAAAATTCCATTTATAGAAGCAGCCAAAATGTGACTGACCAAAAATGTATTAAACGATGTTGGCAAGTAATTTGCGCTTACACTAACTTTATATGGACAAGTAATTCTAAATGCTTCAGACACATTCATGATCATGTTGCAGTTTTAGTCGTATACACTCTTATATGATTCCAAATTTAAAATACATTGCTTAAATTAAATAGACTTTGCAGACATTGGTCCGATATAGAAAAATATATCAAATTGATTATAGCTACATTTGATGAATATAAGCCGAAGGGCGCTTTGTCGGCTAATGTGGTATAATTTTCCCGATTGCTAGCTTTTAGATATATGACAGTGGCCGATATACAATGCAGAACTTTAATAACGTTCAAATACCCTGGCGTCTCTATATCAAAAATCAATTCGGTAAAATATATTGTTTTTGGGAAACCAAAAATTTTCAATATGCATGCATGTAATTATCACAACTTGTCAAATTAAAACCGGAACATTATACAGGATGTCCAGGAGAAAATACAACAGCTGTACAGTGTTACAGATTTTTGCACAGATAATTATTAGCAGGCAGTGAAAATTCAAGAGGTTGTTAGAATTGGGTCAGTTGAAAGTGAGGGGACATCAAACCTATTAATGCTTAACACAACTGCATGTATATAATTTCAAAGAGTACACTTTGAGGTAGAACGTCCAAATAGAGGCGATTGATGATATGCAGGGTTTATACGATAAATCGTTGTCCGATAGTTCAACCCAGATATCAGTATACTTGTAATACTTGACACACCTGAAGCATATGATTTCAATGGTCCATTGCATGCATTGGTTTAACTAGAACAATTTTAATAGACTTTTAATGTCAACATTCACCGAGGTTGAATTTTCGATGCTTACTAATAATTAGCATGTAAAAATCTGGAATACATGCAACTATTGCATTTTTCTCCAGACACATGTATTGTTAGCCAAACACGTTAAATTTATATCGATCTTTGGGTGCTCTTTCGAGTGGCTGGATTTGTGATAAAGTTTGACAGAATAATTTTTTTTTATAATTTGAGGTAGAACGTCCAAATGGAGGCGATTAATGATGCATGCATGGTTTACGATAAATCGTTGTCCGATAGTTTAACAGAAATATCAGTTATCCTTAAGACCCATTTCCACGCAAGAAAATTTTCCACGGACAGAAAATTTTCCGAAAACATCATTGTTGAAAATTTTCAACTTCAAAATTTTTTCCGACGGAAAATTTGTGTCGGCCAGTCACATTTTATATTTTTTTCTTTCCGAGGAAAATTTCCTTGAGTGGAAATGTGCCTTTATATTCATCATCCGCTTCTGTTTGTTCGTTCTGCTCTATGAGCATAGTCTGTCAAGATATGATGGTCTGGAAACTGAACACAAGTCATTGTATTATGTTTTTGTCTCAGTTGATGTTAATTAATATGTTAATTTGTGCACGGTCACGCGGTGAGCTCATTGTATTTTCGTATAATGAAGTAACCGTCCAACGAGGAGCTGTTTAGCATCAAACGCATGCAGGCCTTTTATTTTGTAGCTTTGAAGTTTGCCGTGCATCATATCTTGACAAACTATGCTATGACTATGTTATAAGCAGTATACATGCTTTATATATAGTATTCTATTAGGGAGGTGCCTTGCATGGGACTTATTATCTCACTTGCATCTTCCCTTTTGGGCCTTTGAATAGTTTATGTCAGTGTTACAGTATATTGTGGTCCAATAAAGTTGTTAAAATTAAAAATTAAAATTTTAAAAATTAAAACGAGCGCCCGAAGATAGATAGAAATGCAAAATTTGATGTGATTTGGCTAACAATACAAGTTGCGTTGAAAATTTCTGGTGATGGAACAATATATTTTACAGTAATTGATGTATTTTTCATACGACTCCAGGATACTGTATTTGAACGTTATTAATGTTCTGCATCGTATATCGATCAATGTCACATATCTAAAGGCAGGCTAGCAATCAGAAACATTATATACCTTATTAGCCATACAATCGCAATTAAAAAGTTCCCTTCAGCTGATATTCATCGAATATGTATAATCGATTTGATGCAATATATTTCTGTATATATTGGACCTATATGTCTGAAAAGTCTATTTAAGTAATTAAATTTGGAATCATTTTGCCTGCATCATCATGAACGTGTCTGAAGCATATAGAATGACTTGTCCATATAGAATGACGGGAAACACAAATTACTTGCCAACATCTTTTAAGAAATTGTTGATCAGTCACATTTTGCCTGCTTCAGTAAACGGGATTTTCATCATTCCTACGATATTACTAAATGCTGTTTCAATCATAACGATTTTTAAATCTTCTCAACTGAACAGCAAGCCTTGTTATTTCATCATTCTTGTTCAGTCCGTGATTGACTTGGCAGTTGGTGTGTTGGGCATACCTCTATTTCTCGTCTACCTTGTCCAAGGAATTACAGGGACGTTAGATTGCTTTGGAACACTACTGGCGACAAAGTTCCCAATTTTACCACTTGGCGTATCTATTATCACACTATCTGCTATGCCAATGGAACGATACATTGCCATCTTACATCCCTACGCTTACAGCACTGAAGTAACAAAGAAGAGAATTTTGGTATATGTCGGTTCGGGTGCTGCGGTCATATTCTTTGTGATCATTCTCTCTCTTCGCATCCAGTTTGCGGTCTTGATGTTTGGGTCGTCGTTGGTGACTCTCGTGTTAATTTTCACCGCATTTGCTTACACAAGAATATACCTGGTCGTTAGAAAGCTGAATCGCTCACCGAACCAACCATTAGAAGAGATTTGGACAAAAAAGAAACTGTTCGTGCGAGAAATCAAACAAGCAAGGTCCTGTTTCATTGTTGTGATGTGTTTTTTCATTCTATCTTTCCTACCACCGGTAGCGCTTCTCTTACTTAAACACATTGACGAAAGCGAGCTTCTAGCCAAGGACGTCTGGTTGAACACGATATCCATGTTCAACTCCAGCGCCAACTCAGTGATCTTTTTTTGGACGAAGACGATGTTGAGAAAGGAAGCAAAAAAGAGATTAAACTTTATTTGTGGGCGTTGATCGCCCCTTCTAGATCTACCCATTATATATTGCAAATGATACGAACGATTCGTAAGTTTAGTAGTAGTTTTAGTCTGTCCAACACCGGACGAAACTGCTTCCAAATAAGGAATATTTTTGAATGGTAACAGGTTATCTAGCACTCCAGGGAGAAAACACAAAAGAACTTTCCAACGGTCCCGATGGCAAGGGGGGGGGGGGGGGAAAGGAACGTTATTCCGACAAAATATTTGGCGGAGGGTCGTTTATCGCAGGAACAGTTTCTTTCTTGTTAAATTCACTTCTCCTTCTACATTTGATGGTTGGTTCTGTGAGCGATTCAACTTTCTAATAACCAGGTATATTCTTGTGTAAGCAAACGTGGTGAAAGTGAACACGAGAGTTACCAGTAACGTCCAAAATACCATAGGCGCAAACTGGATACGAAAAGAAAGAAAGATCACAAAAAATGTGACCACAGCTCCGGAACCGACATATATCAAAATTTTCTTCTTTGTTACTACAGTTTTATAAGCGTAGGGATGTAAGATGGCAATGTATCGTTCCATTGTCATGGCCGATAATGTGATAGTAGATACTGCAATTGGTAAAAGTGCGGACTTTATCGCCAGTAATGTTCCCAAGCAATTAGATGTCCCTGTTATACCTTGAACAAGGGAGGCTAGAAATAGAGGTATGCCCAACACACCAACTGCCAAGTCGATCACGGACTGAACAAGAATGATAAAATAACAAGGCTTACTTGGGAAGCTTTCAATATCGTTATGATTGAAACAGCGTTGAGTAATATCGTAAGAATTATGAAAATCCCGTTTACACAAGCAGCTAATATGTGACTGACCAAGTATTTCTCAAATGATGTTAAAAAGTGATTTGTACTTCCCATGAAATGACAAGTAATTCTATAATATACTTCAGACCTATTCATGACAATGCTGTTCAAATCACCTTTTCGTATAGACTATCACATCGTCTAAATGAAGCCATCGCCTGCAATTGATTATACATTTGATGAATATATCAGCTGAAGGGAACTTTATAATTGCGATCGTATGGCTAATGTGGTATAATGTTCCTGACACTAGTCGATTTACAATGCAGAACTTTAATAACGTTAAAATACCCTGGCGTCTTTATAAAAAATCAATTACTGTAAAATATATTGTTTTTGGAAAACCCGTCATCTGAAATTTTCAATATACATGTAATTATCACAACTTGTCAAATTAAAGCCGGAACACTATACAGGGTATCCAGCTGCAGGCTGCTCCATTTAATTTAATAAGTTCTTTTTCAGTGTTTAGTTTATTATATATACGTGCAACCATGCATTACTATATCATTAGTTATTCACATAATAAAGCGTATAATGATTTGCTGTTATTTGTATATCTAAGTATGCTTTTGCAACGTTTTTACTAGTTGATTTTGCCCAACCCCAGCCCTAGCGTTCAAATAGCATATAATAAGTATATGTCGATATATAGCGGTTAACCCTTCAAAATAACGCTCTATGCATTTATATGCAGTGTGCAATGGATATACACAAAATCTGTCGCCTCCATTTCCAATCTTCCAATTACGTGAAAATAGGCAGTGTCACGTGTCTATTCTGGCTGCCCCTACTCGAAAATCGGGGTAGTCAGAATAGTTCAGAACAGTCATGTGACTGTCTTCTGTTCCGTTCCATTAGTGTTCCGAAAATACTCCGAACTGTAGTAAATGGAGCAGCTTGCAGGGGAAAATGCAACAGCTATACAGTGTTCCAGATTTTTGCACAGCTATATTGGTAGGCAGTGAAAATTCAAGAGGTTATATTAGAGTTGGTTCCGTAGAACCAATGTTATGGCTGTTTAATGTGATGGGTCATCAAACCTATCAATACTTGACACAACTGAAGCATATGATTTTAATGGTCCATTGCATTGGTTCAACTAGGCCAATTTTAATAGCCTTTTAATGTCAACACAATCCCTTCCTCCACAAGAGAGAAGAGGCTGGGAACGAGGTTGATGTCAACATTCACTCGGGTTGAATTTTCGATGCTTACTAATAATTAGAAGTGTAAAAATCTGGAATGCATGCAGCTATTGCATCCCCCCAGGCACAAGTATTGTTAGGCAACACGACAATTTTTTATCGATTTTCGGGTGCTCTGTCTAGTGCTGGGTTTGTGACAATTTGACTTGTCTGTGCCATGCACATGGATTCTATAGTGCGAGATTACTCGTGCCATAGGTCAAAGAGAACACTTTTGAGGTACAACGTTCAAATAGAGGCGATTAATGATGCATGCATGGTTTACGATAAATCGTTGTCCGATAGTTAAACAGAGATATCAGTTATCCTTAAGACCCATTTCCACGCAAGAAAATTTTCCACGGACAGAAAAGTTTCCGAAAATATCATTGTTGAAAATTTTCAACTTCAAAATTTTTTTCCGACGGAAAATTTGTGTCGGCCAATCACATTTTACAAAATTTTCTTTCTGCTGAAAATTTTCTTGAGTGGAAATGGCTGAAAATTTTCTTGAGCGGCCTTTATATTCATCATCCGCTTCTGTTTGCTCGTTCTGCTCTATGACCATATAGTCTATCAAGAAATGATGGTCTGGAAACTGAACACAAGTCATTGTATTATGTTTTTGTCTGAGTTTAGGTTAATTTGTACAATGCGTAATACAAAATGACTGAAAAACAGCAAACTTCGCAGGGCTATATTATCCACATTTTACAACATTTCGCAACGAAACTTTGGAATATTACTAATTTTGTGATGCTCTTTCAAACTGTGATTTTTGTCTAGACTTGTGTAGTAGATCAAAATTTTGTTCATTAGGTAATAGGTCTATTGATGCATTTGGTGAGGCTCGTGCAAAGCACGCGGATGTGTACAAGCCTGAAAAAGGCGAACTTTTTAAGGCTAATTTCCACTCAGGAAATTTTCTTTGTCTTGTGAGCTCTGGGTTGAAACTAATGACTTTAACACAAAGAAAAATTTTCTTGTCCGTTCCAATCCACGGATAATTTTCCTGAGTGGAAATTAGCCTTAACAGTTTAACGCGGGATAATTAAAAAAAGAGCGGTGTTTGCCAGTGTAGATAGCGACAAGACAGCTGCAGATTCAGAGAGATACAACTACTTGAAATACAACCAGGCAATAAAAATCCTTTGGACCCGTCAGGGACGATTGTGCAGAGACGTCGCGAAGCCATCAACATTTTTGTCGTCATGTTTTGACCAACATTTCCTAGGATTTTGACCAAGTCGAAACTCAAAATGTTGTCGACGGGGGGGGGGAGGTCAAAAAAATTTTTCCGCACTAACAGAAGCATTGTCAAAAAAAATTTTCAGGACCAACATAAGCAAATTCAAAATTTTTCGACAAAGACGAGCAAACTTTCCAATTTTTTCATCGCAAACGTAACAAAAGCTTTAAAATTGTTAAAATTGCGAATTTTCGGCAAACTTTTACCAAATTTTTCCCAGTTTTACCTTCAATTTTAAGCAAATATCAGCTCCATTTTGACCAACTTTGGGCAAATATCACTTCCATTTTGACCAACTTTGACCAACGTTTGAATTATTGGGGGGGGGGAGGGTGTTACACCCCTCCCCCTATAGCGACGTCACTGCGAGTGTGTGTGTGTGTGGGGAGGGGGGATCTAATCATCTGGCCGTTTTCGCATTCTAGGATCTGCGTTTCGCTATTCCATGCATTTTAGACAAGTTTTATGATAATCTGAAAGCCACCTATTTGGTATATTTAATGTCATATATGAAAATATTAAGAGGTTACGTCCGCCCCGCCCCGCCCTCTCAGTTTCTCCTCAGTTTTGAAATAACTACAAAATTGGGCTGAGGAAAAGTGGGAGGGGGGAGACCCAGACCCCCTTGACTAGGCCTCTGCACGGGGTTAGAGTGTACATCTATCTGGATTGCTTGAATGATTCAATCGTCGATTTATATGGATTGCTTGTATTGTGCGTCGACTATACATGTATATTATGCAGTCGTAACACCTGCTGCTTGCCTTTTGCATGCAAATACACTTTATTAGATCTATAGAAGCATCGCACAATTGCGCTATCAACACAATGAAATACATCACATAGTAGCACTTCAGACGTTATGCATTTCATGGCCGAACTTAATTCGATAAATTACGCATGCATGTGAAGCGCACAGTCCGTTCAATTCATCACTTTTTTATTTAGCACGGTTAAACTGTGAAGTTCGCTTGTTCCAGGCTTGCTATATAGCCAAGCTTTACATGTGCTGTAAATGCATAAATTATGATTCTAGATATACTTTTCGAAATGTTCGCCCAAAATCAGAGTTAGTAACTAAGTATGGTGACGGGTTTCAACAAAACAATATATTTTATAGCGACCCCAAGGTATTTGAACGTTAATAAAAAATTCTGCATCCTGTATCGACCACTGTCACAGATCTAAAAGCAACCAAGCAGGAACAATAAACCACATTAGGCATATGATCGCAATTAAAAAGTTCCCTTGGTATTTACCAAATCTATATTGAATTTGATGCAATATCTTTCTGTGTATATTGGACCAATGTCTGCAAAGTCTATTTAAGCAATGTATTTTAAATTTGGAATCATTTGCCTTCAGACTCCGACTTTCAGATAGTCTATATATACGACTAAAACTGCATCATCATGAACGTGTCTGAACCATATAGAATTACTTGTCCATATACAATGATGAGAAACACAAATGATTTGCCAACATCGTTTAAGAAATTTTTGATCAGTCACATTTTGGCTGCTTCTGTAAACGGGATTTTCATAATTCCTACGATATTACTAAACGCTGTTTCAATCATAACGATTTTTAAATCTTCTCAACTGAACAGTAAGCCTTGTTATTTTATTCTTCTTCTTCAGTCCGTGATTGACTTGGCAGTTGGTGTGTTGGGCATACCTCTATTTCTCATCTACCTTGTCCAAGGAATTACAGGGACGTTAAATTGCTTTGGAACACTACTGGCGACAAAGTTCCCAATTTTACTACTTAGCGTGTCTATTATCACACTATCTGCTATGACACAAAGAAGAGAATTTTGGTGTATGTCGGTTCCGGTGCTGTGGTCATATTTTTTGTGATCATTCTCTCTTTTCCCATCCAGTCTGCGACCTTGATGTTTGGGTCGTTATTAGTGACTCTTGTGTTCATTTTCACCGCGTTTGCTTACACAAGAATATACCTGGTCGTTAGAAAGCTGAATCGCTCACCGAACCAACCATTAGAAGAGAATTTGACAAGAAAGAAACTGTTCCTACGAGAGATAAAACAAGCAAAGTCCTGTTTCATTGTTGTGATGTGTTTCTTCATTCTATCTTTCCTACCACCGATAGCGTTTCTCATTGACGAAAGCGAGCTTCTAGCCAAGTACGTCTGGTTGTACACGATACCCATGCTCAACTCTAGCGCCAACTCAGTGATTTTCTTTTGGACGAAGACCATGTTGAGAAAGGAGGCAAAAAAGAGATTAAACTTTACTTGTACGCGTTAATCCCCCCCCCCCTCCCACCCACCTATTATGTTTCCAAATGATAAGAACGATATCATGAGTTTAGGGAATGACTTCGAATGGGAACAGGTTATCTAGCAGCCCAGGGACTTAGACGGCTGGTCAAAACAAAAGAACTTTCCAACGGTCCGGATGACAAGCGCAAAATGCAGAAGTGCAAAGTGCCGAAGGCGCGAGACCTCTAGGGGATATGGAGACGTGCTCCCCCACAACATTTTGAAATCTTCAGTGTCTGAGAAACACTATTTCATGAACTTTGAGGGAACGATTTTAATAAATTCTGATTGTCAGAAAACAACACATAACAGTTACAACGACTAAGTTTGTCATCGCTTCGGACTTGATAATTTCGCTGGAAAAATTAACATGTAATGAAATTTAACGACTTTTTTTTGGGGGGGGGAGGGGGGGGGAGAACGAGGAAAGCTATTCTGACACGTACCCCCCCCCCCCCGTACAATATTTGGCGGAGAGTTCACCTGCTTCGCATGTCCGTGTAAATAATCCATGACAGTGTAAAAAATATATTCAATAAAAATCTCTGTTGAGTTCTCATTATCACGCCTGTAAAAGTGCAAATTCATTATATATACTGAAACTGAAAAGCACAACGGTTTACTCAATGAAAGAAGTAACTTGTCGTTACTTTCTATTCTTAACAATCACAGTTGCCTGTTCAATCACTACAGGTTTTTTTTCTCAGTAAAACATATGCAATATAATTTTTGGTATGTGTAATATTCAGGTCATTCTAAGAAATATACCGAAAGTTAAAAGACCCATTAAGTTGAGAATAAGCTTGGTGAATAACTATAAGCGAATACAATGTTTCATTTAAAAATATTTGAACCTACATTATTTGGATCATTGAAGGTAACATTCCTCCTAATATTCGCGTGAAAATCTTTAGTTAATAAAACAAGAAATCTTTACGAACGCGGAACGCCATATTTTTTCATTATGCTATAAAGCGCGTGGTTTTCACGTGTGACGCGCGTGTTATACAGCTCTTTAAACCAACCTGATATTGTTCAAGTTCTGTGAGTTCCTTTTTAGCTGATGATAATTCTGTTTCCTTTTCAAGCATCTGATCTTTCAACTCTGCAAAGAAATTAAACATCGTTTACACACAGTTGTGGGAAATTAGAAATATTTAATTGCACGATTCCTACTCCCCTGGAAATCTTGGAAAACCCTGAATTTTTTTATTTTAGTCTTTGAAACTCCTTGAAAATTCCAGGAATTTCACAATGAACCCAGAAAAGCTCTGGAAAACTACAGCTTATGTGTTTAAGTTGAAATAGGATTCATAACAAAACGTTCTTGCACACAGCATATAATATTTTTTCAAAAGTGACATTATTTAGTAAAAATTATTTAAAATCCCGGATTTTTAAAATTATGAAGGTGTATGATGCAGGGTATCGCGCTGATACTGGGTATCCCATAGGATATTCACTGAAAATGCGACCGTGGCACAGATGAGGTAAGTACAGATATGAATCTCACGGCAAATTATGTCACACCGATTAAATAAACTTTAAAATTGTATTAATTCACTATTTTATTAAATTTTGATAATGCAGAGGAATAAAACTATACATATTATAGAAGTATTCATGTTTTTTTTATGCGAGAGTTATGTTTTGAGGCATTTATATCATTCGCTGTTTTGTTATTTATGCACGAGCATCTGAAATTCCCAGCAAGTGTATTTCACGATTTTAATAAGAAGTAGATAGGGAAAAAAACAAACTTTTGCGAAATAAAATGTTATATTAACACTTTTAATAAAAAGAAATCAATAAAAGTGATCGCTTACCGTTACTCTTGAAGAATTCATTCCAAAAATAGCCGTCGGTAGCGTAGACTTTTTGAAAAAAACAATTTTTCGTCTTTTCCTATCTCTTTCCTTTATTAAATTTCAGAACGACACTTGCCAGCGCTCGCCGGAAGTGAGAATTCCGTGTGACACAAAACAATCAGCAATTTGACGTGAGATTCACATCTGTACTTGCCTCATCTGTGACCGTGGTGATTAAGTTTCCCCAGCCCTGAAAACCAATCTCCAGACACTCAAAAATACAAATATGTTCTGGAGGTGGGGTGGACCTTCAGACCCCTACAAGTTCCCCACTTTTCCATTTCACCACCTCCCGGAAAGCTTTCGATTCATAAGCCCAGCGGATTGTCATCAGGAAAATAATAAAGTGGATTGTATTTGAATTTTACAGGGTGTGTAAAAAAAAGTGAGTGACCTTTACAAATTCACCTTGTTATAATTTGAATGCCTGAGTCCCTACACTGAACCCATGGGTTGTTCGTAAACACAATTGAATCGAAGGAAGTTATTAGAAGTTATTTAAAAGTTTTTGGTATCGCTAACATATTTTTGCTCTGTAGTCAGTTGAACCATTTTTAATCGAACTGACGGGACTAATTTCTAAGTCGTTTCAACTTTCAATTAGAACTTTCATGTACACTTTTATGCAGTTTTAATATGCTCGTACGATCACAATGCATTCTAAACTCCCAGAGGTAATGAAGTTTGGGTGTTTACAAGAAAAGGGTGATTTCTAAAGGGTCACTTTTTTTAGACACCCTGTATGCATATAACAAGCCTTCGTAAGCAGAGGGTGTTAGAGGGAACGAGAGAGGCGGGCAACGAGAATTATATAATAACTACAGTGAAACACGCAATTTGATTAGTCAGTAGCCGTGCAGGATCAGGCTATCCTGCACGGGGAATTAAAATGCCTTCGCGGGATTCTCAAAATGTCATTGTTTCACTGTAGTCATTTTATAAAACAATTACCAAATGGTTTTCCAAGCAGGATAGCGTGATCCATGCACTTGGGATGTTGCTCGACTTTCGGAAAGCGTAAAAATACACTCGCCTGCGGCTCGAGTATTTTTACGCTTTCCGAAAGTCTCGCGACATCCGTCGTGCATGGATCACGCAATCCTGCACGGAAAACCATGCGGTATTCCTTTCTTACCATTATATATAGTATAAGCTTTTCTCACCATTTTTTAACTGTTCGTAATAGGCTGTCATTTCTTCTTTCTGTTTTTGAATTTGGCTCAGTTTTTCTTGGTTGTTATCATTCAGTGAGACAATCGCCGACTGTCTTTTCTGTGTTTTTCTTGCCATGTAGGCCATGTACTCGTGCTGTGGGGATAAATATAATAATGTTTGAATCTGCGACTTTATTTCACTTCATTCGAAAGTTCTTGGCAACCGAGAAGGGCCATGGCAAGGACTACTCTGGAACGGTAACTCGCCTGAACTCGCCACGAGATAATGCGAGTTTAGGGCCTTTAGGCGATTTAGGGAAAACTTCGGTAAATTATAATCCGCGATTTAAGGCGAGTTTAGGCGGTTTAAGGCGATTTTAGGGGGGTTACCACTCCAAAAGTAGGCCTGGCCGACACCTAAGCTCGCCGCGAGATAATGCGTGTTTGGGCGATTTAAGGAAAACGTCGCTCAATTATAACCCGCGATTTAAATTAAGGCGAGTTACCATCCCCAAAGTAGCCCTATGGCAGAAAACGATATTATTTTTCTATTTAAGCAAAAGCATACATTACTAAACTTTATTATATAAAGTATAGTGCTTTATAGAGGTTTCGAGCACTGATAAAAGTGATAATCTCACATGTGAGATTATTCATGATGATCTCACATGTGAAAATTATCGCTTTTCAATTATCGCTTTTCTGTAAAAATTATCGCTTTTCAAAGACTGTCCTTTATATAATAAACAGAAAAATACATGGGTGCTTGGAAATACCAGATTTATTTCTCGTGTTGACTCGAAATAAATCTGGTGTTTCCGCGCACTCGTGTATTATTCTCTATTTACTAAACCTCCGTTTATAAACACCCCCCCCCGCCAATAAGCCCATCACATAACTAACGTTCACACCATTCAAAATATAAGCCCCCCCCCGAATATAAGCCCACCCGAATATGAGCTCACTTGTTTATCCCGCGTTAGTCGAAGCCGTAACTCTTTTACTAACCCCAGTTGCTCAGATAAATTTGAGAGGGTTGCTTATGGACCTTATGCAGGTAGGGGTGGGGGGTTAATGGTTTTACTGGAATGCAGGATGTGATAGTAACGTGAAATTCTAGCGTAGATTTTCTCCCACAGGAAACAATGACTTATTAAGGAATTTTCATGGGGGAAGGAATATTTTTCTTTCAAATAGAAAAAACTCGGGGTGTAAAGGCTTGCCCAAAGGCACGAGATATATGGAAGGGGGCCCCCTTGGAAGTGGGAGTGTATAACTTTAACTGTGATTTTAAATCACTACCTCAGGAAATCAGATTGATTTTGAGCATTATTTTATGTTTGAGTTGGGTGGTTGTGTTTGGGTTGGGTAGGTGTTTGGGTTGAGTTGGGTATTTGAGATGTGGAGCTTAATAAAGGATAAACGGAAATTAATTTCTTGACAACTGGACTCTGTAGCTCAGGGCCACATGCTCAATTCTTGCCGGAGGGCTTGTACTCATTGTAGTCTCGCATTTTTTGCATCTGCTCCTGGTCAGGTGTAAGGCCTGTTTTATACGTCGAATTTCGGTCGCATCGAATGCAATTCAAACAATAGATAATAGCCGAATTCATATTAGAGACGGGAAACTCGTCTTAGACGGGAAACTCGTCTTAGACGGGAAACTCGTCTAATATGAATCCGGGGGCAGACGAGTTTTCCCGTCCGAACTTTCCCGTCTAACTTACCCGTCGAAACAGACGGGAAAGTTACACGGGAATCCCATCTAGACGGGAAACTCGTCTTAAATTCGAATTTATCCGTCCCTAAATTCATATTCAGACGGGTTTTGACAGACGAGTTTCCCGTCCCTAATATGAATTCGGCTAATGAAGCTTAGTGAGGTTTATCATCTCATTATCTATTGTCTTAATTGCATTCAACGCGACCAAAATTCGACGTATAAAACAGGCCTAACATGTGCATATATAGATGTTTTCGACTTTAGAAAAGCTTTCATCTAGAAAAGCTTTCAACACCTCGAAATACTTACGCTTTCTCGTCTTGTTTGTTGTGCTTCTTCTTGCAACCACTCATTTTCCTTTCGACTTTAACAAATATTCGTTAAGGAAACCATGGCCGGATTTTGTGCATGGGAGGTGTGTTGTGTTTTTGGGAGGTGCGCACCCTCTCCTGATATTTTTACTTCTTCCTTGAAAAGTGAAATGATGCAGGGGCGCAACTTGACTCTACGTATTAGGGGGACGTGAGTTCTTCTTGCCCGATAAAAGGGCGTGGTCACCAATCAATCTGCTGTGAAATTCCCGAGTATCATACCATTTTTAAACTTTGTGGAGTGTCACCCCTACCCCCCCCGAACAGTTGCGCAACTGGATCTAAGTCAAAATTCGACTCACACTTAACAGTTAACTTTAAGGTATGCTGGTGTGATACGCTTTACTCGACGAATTTTTATCCAATTTCCATCAAATGTTCGCCATGTTTGCCATCCTCAAATACGCACTTTACAGAGACTACATCATAAAATGATCGATTTATGTATACCAATGTCAAAAAATAAATAAAGACTAACATAGTGTCATAAAATATACGAGAAAAATAATTTTCCCGACAATTGCTACAAGTGAAATTTGTGGTACCTATGGCGTCTACGTTATTAAATGCCGGTTTCGCTAAAAACCTGTCAAACTATCATTTTTACCGTCCTCGAGGACTGTTCTGAAAAAGGGTGTTCGCATTTTATTGTTGCTTCAGAGGTTTTTTATTTAAGACATGTGTGATACCGGTATTGCAACCAATGCACAACAAAAGGCTTGTAACTTTGCAACTACAACCTGCAACGTTAAACTGTCAGGGAAAACTTGACGAAATACTTATACGGTTTTGCTAAGTTATTGTGTACGGTCAACATGTTTTCCTTGTCACCTTATCTCATGCCAGGGCCGCCTTTTGTTTGCCAAAACCCTGAGTATCAGGTTGAGGAGAAGGTACTAAATTGTCAAGGAAACTTATCAAGGAAAACTTGCTCGTCTGTAACAGGCTTTATAGAGTCTAGAATTTTTTATTTATTTTTCTCCATGTACAGGTTTATGTGAACAAAAAATATATAAGTACTAGATAAAACATGAGCATCCGATCTGTATCTGATATACAAACTCGAGCCGAAGGTGAGAGTCATTAAAAAATGACCCATCTTATGAGTTCATTGGCGAAGTAATTTTAAGAATAAACATTGTCTAAGCCGAGAAAATCAAAGCTGAAGTTTGTGTAAATCAGGACAAATCTTTATCCGATTTACAAACATTGATTAAACATTCATTTCTTTTGTATTTTCCTCGTGAATTATTAATCCATTTTTAAGTACTATTTATAAGTGATAGGGCAAGAGATATACAGGGTACAAGAAACCTCTACAGGCTTTCCACGGATTTGCATCTCTAGATTTGCATTAAATTAGGGCCTGAACTTCAGGTTAGATTTGCATAGAAAACGTTTCGGGCCTAGTGCGAAGAACTTCATGTCTGCACAATGACACACAATGATCCAACTCAAAAGGTCAAAATCTGTTGAGACAAAATAACATGCATACATGAAGTAGTGGACGTTTGGCGGGAAATTTAACTTGAATCAGAGACTTGGATTCTTGAAAGGATACAGTTCGTCAACGTTTCTTTTCGTCTCCGTTAATTCATCACTTAAAGTTTCTAACCTAAATGGTAAAACAACTATCAATCAGTACTTGGTTGCAAGCATTCATCCCCTCATTCATGGGAAAACTCAAAGGGACAAAGAAGTTGAAAGAACATTCAAGAACATGGTTGATGGATTTCAAATATTGGTAAGTGAATTTGTGTCAAATTCTTTACAATATAAAACCACAAAGGGGGGGGGTGAGTAGGGGTATACAAATCTGCAGATCTGTTCAAATTTGAAGCAAAATCTGCCGGTCCGACAATGCTCTGTCTAAATTTGGATCCACTATAAACAACTCTCCTATGAAGTCACAATCCAGGATCCGAACTAAATTGCAAGCAAAATCTACAATGAATCTGAGCAAAAATGTTGGATAAATCCGTAATCACGGGCGTAGCGGGGGGGGGGGGGCAGCAGCCCCCCAGTTTGTTGGGCAAACAAAGCCAGTTGGGCAGTATTCGCTTCACAGTTGGGAAATATTGGCTTATTATAAAAATAAATGGGACAAATTCTGTCAATTTTGTGGGAAAGTATGTCCGTAAAATTTTTTTTGACAACTCTGGCACAATCCAAAAAAGTCGGGCAAATTTCTTTCCGCCCCCTAATTTTTCCTTCCTGTACGCCTATGTCCGCAATCTGCTGTATTAATAAGGTCCGCAAATCGGCATAAAGTATTCTCCAGATCCAAAATCCGAACATTTTTTCGGCAGAATCTGACAATCTGAAAACTTATTCCCCATCCCCCACCACCACACGCACACACACACACAGACTACAGTATTGTGTGTTTCAAAAAAATATTGACAACGTTAGTTTATTTATTAGCATGCCAACCAACCCTGTACCACATGCCAACCAACCTCGTCCCTTGATCATATGCCATGTGGGAATGAAATGTACTGTATCTTTAATGGGTTTTTTTACTTATAAATTAAACAGGTTGAAGCTTTATTTGATATCTTGATTCTTGATGGGAAACATACTGTATGCCCATGACCATGTTGACAAATTTGGGAATGACAATTATATATTCCAAGAGAATATTGTTAACTATTGCAGCCCTTGAATCTCTTTTCTGTTGACTTACCATGTTACCATGTGTCACAATTAGGTAAGTCCAAAATTAGTTACTGATAAAGTATGAGTTAAATAAATCCTTTAGCTGAATCCTTTAGCTTTTGATTAAATTTTTTAGTATCCGTCCGGATACCGGATAATTTGTTTTTCATGAAATGTATCAAATTTCCATTAATTAAAACATAAAAAATACTAAAAAAATAGAAACCCAAAAAAGGACATGTGACAAAGCTAGCCGCTGATATAATTAATTGTATCAATTAACTATTCGCAGTGTTTGGCGCCAAATTAAGCCATACTAAATTGCCATCTCAAAAACTTTCGGAAGTTTTCGGAAACATATGAACGGCGGAAAAAGTTAAAGACAGGTTTTTAATTAACCATAATTGATTATTTACTTGAAAAAATAGTGTCACCTTCTGCACTAATACATGGATGAGAACATAACACGAACACACACAAAATAAACAATATAATATATATTATATGTCAAGTATTCAAATTACCTTTAACTTTAAACAAAAATTTAGTTTTCCATACAACTCATCTAGTACAATTTTTATAGCTATAGAATGATTTTTTTCGATTTCTGCACTTTGTGTTCACACCTTGAATCTATTGTTGTGTGAATGTCATTACCTTTTATGGCAGTATAATGTAGTTAATAACCAACTACTCGGTTTCAACCAATGGGAACCCTGCATCGTTCTAAGCAATGCACAGATGCATTTTTATTAGCTAGGCCTGCAGGCTCTCTCACAAATTTCAAAGAGAGTTCAAAGAGAGCCTGTTCGCAGGCTATTTTGGTGACTACGAACCCTGCCCCTTTATAGTGGACCTAGGTGAGCCCTAAGCCATGCCTAATGTGGCAATGTATAATAATTAAACTTGTCACAATTACTGCATCTTGGCCTCAGGCCCAATTGGCTTACTGTAGTTCAGGCCACTGGTCAAGGTTCACAGTGACAATTGATGTATTAGGACGGCTTTACGCTGTTGAAATGGTCCCAGATTTTCTGTCACAAAATCTCAAACAGTGAGCGCCAGACTGAGTGTATATGCAGGTCGTAAGAATACAAGCTGTAGATGATGCGCCTGAACAAATACATTAAACCCTTGATGTTTAGAACACGTCATGCCTTTCATTTGGAGTTACCCTAGCATGGTACGCAAAAACATATGTGCTTTAAATTCATGCTAATCAGTGTGGATTATAATGGGCTGCAATTGGCTATTTGTCAAACAAGACCACTAAATGGCCAATTAATTTTATTCTGTGTGGTCATTTCGACTGATCAAATAAATAAAAACAGCAAATATTATTTGATTAGTACTGTTCAAAAAGCATAAAAGCAAGAGAACGGACGCAAAACATTTTCTTGGTTTCGCAGTGGCAAGCAACAAAATTATGTTACAAGTTGATGGTGTCAGACCAAAATGTTTAGTGCCAGATCTAGACATGCAGAAAATTTGAAAACAGTATCTGTGGACCACTAGTTACCAAAAGTCAAGTAATGTGATTGATCATACAGGGAGGGAGTGATTGATCGTGCAGGAAGTCATCAGCAGGAGTTATCAATGTAATATATATATATATGAAAAGCTTGTCCAGACCATCAATGGTCACCCAATGTCATCACTGCACAGTTGGTTGGACATTTGTCAAACCCAAGCAAAATTGTTATAATCCACACCCATACTAAAATTGCTACAGAAGCGATCATGTGATAAATATATAACCAATCAGGTTGATTTAGTGAAAAAAAGTGTAAACAAAAATGTAAATCACATTCACTGATTCACATTGCAGGGTAATAATGACAGATTTCTGGCCTAAGTTAGCCTTAGGCCTACAGAATAGTGAGAAAGCCAAAACATAGGCCAAACAAGATTCAGACCAACGCTTGCAGTATAAACGTGGCTTTACAGTGATTAGATATAGAGATCATATATCATGGCGGCAAGAAAGCAGAATTTTTATACTCGTTTAAATACTCACTGTTGTGATAACAGGATTTCTCGCTCAGTCGGTTTTGATTCAGCCCTTTCTTCGTCGCCTTCATTATTGCCATTTCCCTTCTTGGCTTTGCCTTTTTTCTTTGGAGGCATAGTAAAAAATTATTTCTAAAACATTACAAAAACCTGAATTTTGTCCTCCATCTTGTTTTCGTTTTATATACGTTGCCTTGGTAACTGGAGTACACACCATTGAACTATAAATAAACTGGAAGGCTAACTGCTATGATGAAGGCCTATGATTTGATGAAGCCAAAATAGTTTTTCTGAGTTATGAGCAGAAATACTTGACCCCAAACGTCGGGCTATATATCAAATTGAAGCTATTGAAAATTGCTATTCGGTGTGGAAATTTCAAGACTTCAGCGAAAAGAAAAATCTTTAAAAAATACAAAAACAACTGCAAAACGGCAAATTATCGGTAATTATGTTTGTAGTTTTTCAATATTTCCCTTTTCGCTAAAGTCTTGAAATTTTTACACCAAATAGAGTTTTTCAATAGCTTCAATTTGATATATAGCCCAACGTTCAGTGTTGAGTATTTCTGCTCATAACTCAGAAAAACTAAAATGCACTGGCTTCAATTTCCCCCCCTGAGTTAGCCTTCCAGTTTATTTATAGTTCAATGGTACACACCAGTGAACTCTAATCCCCGAGCCGACGGCGCGAAGCGCCGTGCGAGGGTACTAATTCCCCCCGGCTATTTACACCCGGGGAAACGAAAGCATTAGCGAAGTCTAAAGTTCATCAAATATCGCGGGCGTGGGTCACTGTGCGTGTTTCGGTCACTGAGCTATACTATATTACTGGAGGACCTGCTCGGCATCATCAAGTGAAGCCGAAAACATGGCGGCTATTACGCCATTGCCATGACAACACTTCCGAAATTTTCATGGTAACTGCCACTGACCAACCGCGATCCTAAGCTTCCGACGATGTCCTTAACCCCCCTGGTTTTTGCACAGAAATATTAAAGATATTTCAAGTTTTCTGTTGTTTTTGAGCTAAAAAATCTTAATATTTCCATCGCACATTACTTGTTTTACAACGCGGAGGAAGGATGCGGGTTTGCTTCGCTTGTGGATGCAGCACTTCACTGCAAAGAAAGACTAATTCTTTCAGGTAAGATTCACGAAACTTTTTTTAACTTAATTCTAGGGACTTGCATGTTCATATCACTCAAGATATAATACACTCATATGTCAAAAACTCATCATCCTAATATATACAGCAAATATTTCAATAGTAGACATACAAATATTGTTAATGAGTAGATACTGTGTGCATGAAATTATATTGTTTTGTGTCAGCACTGGTCTTTGTGGTTTTATTGCCAGACTGCCAGTTTTTAATACTTGTAATTTATATTGTGGTTGTTTTTACATGTTTATATTGTGCGAAATTTTTATACTTGCCCATCATATAGTGCAGGATTAATATATATAGACAAGCACAAAATCACGAGACCAGAAATATTTGAGTAGAGGAGGCCCACCTACGTGTGTCAATATATGCCTGTCCTGATGAGCCCTGGAGACTGTCTTTTTTTGTTTTACACTGTCTGTGTAATGCCAGACGATTTTAAGGGGAGACTGCTCACTGCTGCCACTCAGTGGGTTAAATATACTATCTGCCAATGAGCATGCAGCCCCTGAGATATAGTCAGCCCATTAAGTAGCAATGTGCCCAAATGAACCCTACATTCTTATTTTACTCAAAGGGAAGAGTCTTGGGGTAGAAATAGATACTCACTTTGCCATTGTCTGTTCAGAACCACATACACAGTATGATGTGATAGTTACATGGCAAGAAAAAAAATGTTGCCCACAAGCTGTTGGGATAAGTGAGTCACTATCGATGTACTAACCAGGTAATTAATTCAGAAATTTATGCTACGTACAACATTTCTAACATTGGAAGAGGTGATGTCTGATTGGTCTGTGAGAAACTATGATGAAATTTGCTAATAATAGAATTCCATTCCTGAATATGGATACATGACACTTCAGTTTGAAGCTTGGGATCATTATGGTTTTGGTAAAAACAGATCATATATTGCACCATAGTGGCAGCATGCTCTCCCCTTGACTATAGTAAAATTGTCTGACATTAGACTGTAACATAATACAGTAATACTACTAATACAGTAAGACACATTGCCACTTGAAGGGTTAATATATGTGTATTTATTATATAGTAGAGAGCGAGATACTGAAAAACACACATTGAAATATTTTCCATATCTTCACTAGTGCATGACGATATCGATCACATGACTTTTTCCAATTTCACAATTTTTTGCTTGGGACTTGGGACTTCACACGCTGCTGTGTCATTTTCATGGTGTATAAAGATGTATATAAATGTATCATGATAATAATGTCATCTTTTATTTTGCAGAAATTATCTGTTTAATGCAACACAAGAGATGGCACAGGCATCAACATGCAGAACATCAAAATGAAGTTATAATTATAATACCATAACAACATAATAAATAATTATATGATTATAATAACTTTATTGAAGTGTAAATTTTTACAACAGAGCACAATCATGCTCCACTAAATTAGGAAGAATTAAAATTATACATTTTTAATTGTTTACTGCTAGTTAATAGAGGCTACAAAAAAGTCAAATACTGTACATCCTTCCAGAAAGTATGCCACTTTGACTATGGAGCCTCGTTTTTGTGTATTTGACATGTCTCAATCATGAAAATGAGACTACAGCCTATAACCAAGATGATATACTTTCTGGAAGCATGTATTAATTAAAATATAGTTGTTCAAAATTAATCAAGCTTTAATTGTATGTTCAGTTCAGGCACAGATTTTCTGGGGGGGGTGGTGCCCCCCAGAGGCATTTGGCAACGCCCCTAAAAGTTTTTGCACCCCGCAAATTATATATATTTTGATTTGATAGTTTCATATTTGATTATTCTTACTACTAAATTTGTAAAATTACCAATATTATGGTCTCAGATCTTGCCATGCAGGGGCCAGTTGTTCAATATGCTGGGTTAGTTTAACCCTGGGTTAACCTAAAATTCAAAGCAAAGTTCCTGATAGCTTGTTTATAAATTTGGAAATAGTTCTTCAGAAATCTTGTCAGGATCAATA